TGGAAGGGACCTTTTTAAAGGTCAACTAGTCCAAACTGGATCGTTATACTGTGTGGTGGCTAAATGTCTGCTCCCAGAAGGAACAAAGACTTGCTGTACGGTTTATTCAGGCTGTTCTCTTCCTAGCACTCCCCTTGGCAATTTCCTACTGCTACACCAGCGTTACAGAGGAAGGAGCAGCAAGGAATTAGCAAGACTGCAGGCAGTTCTGTTCCTCTATTATATATTACGAAAGAAAAACAGTGTGCTGTGGATGCAAGGCTGCAGGGTTCAAAGCAAGGCTGGAAATCCAGGGGATCCAAGCACTGCATCACCCACATGAGACCTGCTCTTTACTCCAAAGAGGATGCATTGGGATGTTGAAGCCCTGAGCAAAGCAACCAAGGCAGCGTGGGATAACCCCTGCCAGCCCTCACTCCCAGCCCTGCCCATGTGCAGGGAAGGATGTGGTGGAAATGCTTTCACTCCCTCGAGGCTGAGCTCTTCCAGCTGCTCCATGTGCTGCAGAGTGGAGGAGGAAAGGACAGCAGCGTGTGAAATGCAGCTGTAGTGCCTGAGACAGGGTACAGCAATGGGATCAATGGAAAACTGGGGTCTGGAAGGCTGTTCAATCAAACCGATGCTGTGAAGCACACATATTCGGGTGCTCCCATCGTGGTGGGTACCCAGCCTCATTCCACAAAAACACAGGGGGAAGTAAATGCCATGCTGCCCTTCATGAATGCATGTGGAACAGGATGAGGGAACAGGCAGACACCAGCTGGAGCAGCCCTGGCTGGGATGTGGCTGCAGGCAATAAACCCACCGAGGCCTGCCAGGACCTGCTGATTAGGCAGCAATAAGCCATGGACAAACTGCAGAGAATATTGCATTGGCCATGACTACATCCATCTCTGAAGCAGGCTGAAAGCTGGGTATCCTGATCTCAGCCCTAACTGATCCTGAAAGCAACACCACCACTTCTCTGCCGAAGTGCAAGTGGGATCATGCTCTTAAGGTCTGGATCCTGTTGAAGCCCCTCCTTGTACTATAGGAGAGCATCAAGAAAAGAATCTATATTTGGATCAAGGATAACTGGCTCCCAGCTATGCACTTTGAGGAGACGGAAAACAGAAGGACTCCAAGAGTTAGTTTTCACCTGTTTTTTATCAACTGGGAATAAACAGAATCTTCTGGAAAAGCAGATAAACCTCTCCTCAGCAGCATTCTTACTCACCTCTTAGTTTCCCTAAGATTTAAGCCAAGCTGTAGAAGCAGGCAGAGAGGAGCGATGCTGCTAAGCAGTGTATGCATGTTTCAGAGCAGGCTGCAGTGAGATACTACAGAAACACCAGGAACAGAAGGTTTCTCCTGTAGGTCCTGCTCCATATGGAAATCCCTTTGCTTTCCTCTCCTCAGGCAGCCAGGAGAGCACAGACTGTGCCAGAAGCTGCAAAGCTGCTCCAGCATGAAATGTCTGGGACCAGCTGCCACTGAAGGGTGTAGACTTCAGAAACCAAACTCAGATGAAGCACTTGATGGAAGAGATACCCAATGCAGCAAAGCCCCAGCTCTGCTGAACTCACAGAGCCTAACAAGGGATGAACTCTCCCTTGGCTTTTATCCTGATGGATAACCTGATCTGACACAGTGAACTTAATGGGTAGGGGAGAGAGAGGGTTGCAAGGCAAGCAGGCATGCAGGTTTTTATGTTCCTACTTTGTTAGCAGGAGTGGCACAATAAAGGTGTATTTAATGCAAGGAAATGGTTTTCTTCCCACTGACTTCCTTGCCTTCACTGGATGCTGTGCATTTCCACTTCATGCGCACTTCTTGCACCTTTCTGTTACCACCAAGAAGTTACAATCACTCTTACGGCTGTGTTAAGTCCACATGAGGACTCAGCCACTGCATTTTCTGCAAGTCCTTGAATGGAAGTCGCCCATCCACAAAAAATGCAGCTTGTATTTACAGTGGCTCTGTAATCTCTGTGAGAGATTAGCAAGTGTATTTATTCTGTTCCGACAGAAGGGTGGTGAGCGAGAGAAAAGCATTCTGTGTTTGCTCTGTACTGTTTGCCTTCAGGTCTGGTGAGCATCTGAAATATGCAAAGGGAGGAAAGCTCAGGAGGGACGTCTGGCCCTTCCTCACAGCCTTCATCCCGCTCACACTCACCTGCAACTGCACAAACATCAAGGTAGTGGCATTAGAAAACTGAGCCACGTGTTACCTCTGTCTGAAGATGCATCAGTCATGACCCAGAGACAGCACAGGGCAAAGAGGAGCTCTGGCTGGCGACCCCAGCACCTCAGGGGTGACCTACAGCATCAGTGTCTAACACATCGAGCAAAGCACTGAGGACATGGGGTATTCCAGGGAAAAATAACAACCAAAATGGCTGATTTCCAAGATGCTACTGTACGTGAAGGAAAAGGACTCCTTTTTAAACAGTAGATGGAAAAAAGTAAGAAGTGCAGCTCTCTCCAGCTGAGCCCCTATGACTCTCACTGAAACCTGCTCCAAATCTGCGTGCATCCTACATCCTAGTTATGAGGAAAGCAGCAGACAGCCCAGTTTTCACCGGACCTGCCTGGGAAGGGCCTCTCACATCCTCCCCCAGGGCAGAGGACACAGCCCTGCTGTCTCACCGTCATAGAGGACTCCGTGGACCTTCTGTCCAGTGACTTTGCCCGACGGTGCGGGGACAGAGGAGAGGCAGACACGTCCAGGATGGAGCCCACAGCTGCAGCTTCACAAGTGAAGTCCTGTGTGAACAGCGTTAGCCCAGATCAGTGCAGGAACTAGGACAGAGTCCTGCTCTCTTGGCTCATGGCATAAAAATCCCTGTTATCTAAGGGGCATCTCAGGCTCAGAACAAGTGTCATTGCACTGGCGACACATTTTTGTCCTCTCAGGTGTTAATGTGTTCCCAATATATCCAAGTGTATCTGGGACTCTCAAAACTCCCCATTTCTTTTGTTACCTCGCCCCATCCTGCTGTGTCCTGCCATGGCAGATCTGAAGTTTCCCTGTTTCTATTTCGGAGGAAGGAGAAAAGACAGCCTGGTTTTCCACCACCCTCCAGCTGGGCCATGGGAGCAGAGCAGCGAGCAGCAAACCTGCATAGACTGAGCACACAGAGTGGTCCGGCTCCTGTATGAGCCTGCCTGTGATCCAGTTCCCCTCTCCACCCAGGGACAAACCCTGTATAACTAAACCTATAGCTAAACCTGCCAGATCCCATCTCCCAAACCCCACAAGACTTGGGATGAGCAGCTTACCCTTTTCCGTGGGAAAACCCTCTTCTCGCTCCTGCCCTGCCGCGTCTCGCTGGAAAGGGCGGCACCGCCCGACACGTTCGTTTCCATGTGCTCTGCGTTCTCAATATCTAGTGCCTCAAACTTCTCAATTACCTGGGATCTCCTGGAAAACAGACAGGACAAGGGAAACCAGAGCCGGTTTAAATCCCGGAACTGAGCTGAGCTGTACAACCCCACAAGTGCTTGACCCAGTGCTCACGGACACCGCGCTTCTGGTCCCCGTTTCTCTGCATGCCCCAGCGTGCACAAATCCAGGGGAAACCACCCCAATCTGACAATGCATCATTGAAAGTGGGGACAAAACCTCCCTCGTATCCTCTTAAATCCCTAGAAACCCCTTGCAAAACCAGCAATAGCTTTTTACGTGTATATTTTACAGCCCTTTGAGAGGCTGGGATTGAGCTTTGGCTCAAGCTTTGTCTTTGCCCTCCAGTCCTGCAGCTATCAACAGCCCTCCCCAGACCACAGAGCAGAGACACATCAGACCCAGCTGGGGTGCAGAGGCAATGGGTGCCTGTGGGTCACCCTGTGTGTTCACTGCAATAGACAGCCTGTAAAAACAGCCCCACACAGGTAACACCCAAAGGGCTCCACTGGGAAAGGGGTGTCCATAGGTGCCTCTGGACAACAGGTCTGCCTTGCAGGTTGGACCAGCTGAAGAGGCATGAGATGAGGAGCACCCTGCACAGGCACACTAGGGCATCCCCTGTAAAACCATAGAGCTCAACCCTCCTCTCAAACTGGTCTGCAAATCCAGTATGGACAGCAGGGAGCACTGCTTGGGATCTCAGATACCGCCCTGGTGACCCACTGCACTGTGGCACTTATGTCTCTGAGGATGGAGGAGAACTACGAAGAAATGTGGACAGAACAGGAGCCAACCCCAGACCAAACCCAAATGGGATGCTCCTAGGAAAGAGCCTTGCAGGTGGAATTAAAGCACCATTTCAGCATAAAAAGCTGCTTGCTGACCCACAGGAAATAGTGGAGTTTTCAAAGGACCTACTGGGTGTCTTAGGTCTGCATGCCCAGGTCTCTCTATCAACCTCAGGTCTTTGACCACAACATGGGAACATGAAGCAATAACCCACCACCACCACCTCACATGCCAGCTGAGCTCCAAGCTGTGGGGTTTAAAGCTCAGTTTTGAACCTCCCCAAAAGCTCAGTCCAGGTGGGTTCCGGACACAAAACCTGGACCCACTTGTGCCGCATCTCAAATCAGGGCTGATTGCTCTGTGTAAACCTCTAATGTGCAAGAAAACCACACTGGCAACCACATGAGGGGAAACAGGTTGTCAAAAATAACATTTTTCACACTTCCCAGAGAAAGAACAGCAGATTCAGGGCTCAAAACCCATGAAGCATTCAGTTTTTAACCAATATTTGCACCAAATTCCATCAATGAAATCAACAATCTGAGCACATCACATCCCCCAGGGGGCTGGGGCCCTCCACTGCTCTCAGAGCCAGGCTGCCAGGACTGGGTGCTGAAGCCCACAGCCAAAGAGGAAGGGACAAAATCGGTTATGGGAGACTTTGCTTTGTAAATCCAAACACCTCTATAACGTTTACATGGGACATCTTCTCAGCTCCTGCTGCCTCCCAGTTTGCAGAGTGCGAGCGGGCAGATCCCAGGCTTGCACAGAGCTCCCAATCCCACTGGGATGTTCTGCTCATGAGATGCACATTCACATAAGCCAGTCTATGAAGCATAAATCCACATCCTCCATCCACCAACAAATGGGGAACTGCTTTAGGAACACAGTATTTGAACCTTTTTCACACTGGCCCAGCCTTCTCTGAGTTTCAGTTTAGGAGGGAGTAAGAGCTCCACGAATTAACATTGTCTGTGCCCTATTTAGGTGAAGGCCTGAAGAAAACCAAAATCAGGAGGAAAATAAAACCAAACCAAACCAACCAAATAAAACCATAAAACAAAATCAAAAGCAGGTTGATTTCTCATGAAAGGGGCTGCACCACCAGGTTGTTCTACGGCTTGAGATTGAGATGAGATGGTAGCGAAGCAGGCGAAGTAAAGGTGGACACGTCACACAGCAACACAGCAGGAGAAGGTGGAGAGCAACAAGACCTGGAAGAAAATAAGGCTGGAAAATGAATGAACAGAAGAGGAAATTATATCTCTGCATCTACATATAAAACAAAATGAAAATCATTCCAGTAATTCGTCATTAAAAAAAGGGAGGAGGAAAAAAATAAATCACTGCAATCAAATCACAGGCCCAAGGGTTAATATCATCCGGATTACAGGAAAGAATCGTCTTTTATTTCCCATTAGCTCATTTCAGAGAGGTTACTGCTAGAGATCCTGAAGGAATGGGGAGGGGAAGGGCTGTCCTCTCCTCCCCATCACAAGGGGAGAGCTGCTCCCTCCCAACAGCAGCTCTGTGTTGCCAAACCAAGGCCGCGGGCAGGTACCAAGAAGCGTTTGAAAAGCTGTGGTGCCATTCAGTGCTTTCTCAACTACAAAGCTCATCCCAAGTGGTTCCTCGGCCATGCAGGCTGTTCATCTTTCCCAGGCCATTAAACCTGAGCTGCAGATCTGGGCTGTGAGGTGGAGGGGGGTGTGGGGTGGGAAGAAAAGCTATAAAGACCAGCACGAGCTATCGTTCAAGTGATTTTCTTTGATTGGAAGAAAAGGGCTTGTTTTTATTGGATTCATTCATTATTGAGCAGCAAGAAAGACAGCAAGTGTCAGGGAAAGGAAGAGCAATTTTCCCCAAAGGCCCACAAAAATGAAGAAGCTAGTTTTACAAGGAAAAAAAAATAGATATATATACTTGGGAAAGCAGGCGCTCCTCTATGGGTAAAAGCAGCATTCAGAGCAGAGCCTGCCACATCCAGAAGCTCCAGAGAAGGGATTTGAGAAAGGAAAGTCTTTTAAGCGATTTCAGGCAGCTCTTTATCAAGGCTAGAAATAGACCCTCAGCCCCCTGACCATGCTCCTACAGCAGATCCAGCAGATGCCACAGTGGACTCTTGCCAGCATGAGCAGAACACGGGGTCAACCAGGAAAACGCACAGGCTTAGAGGCTGCATCCCTGAAAGCGTGCAAGAAAAGCCAAGTTTGCCAACCAAGAAATCCCAACGCTTCCCAGGAAGCTCCATGAGGAAAGGGCTCCAGGTCTTTGCACCCCAAGGACTCCCCACCTGATGGTGGTCTCCTTCCCACCCTTCTGAGATGTGCCAGGATTTATCCCTGCGGCTGCAAAGTCCCACTGGGATACAGGGACCAATTGGCTGGGGACATCCCTGAAGCTCTCTGTGCCAAAAGGCTTCAAGATTCATCCACGAGGTTTCCCAAGAGCTGCCCCTGCTCTTTCTCCCTAGGGATGGGTGCGAGATGGGAATGTGGAGGCACGGCAGCCCCGTCCTGCCACGTGCCAGCAGAGGGAACTCGCACTCTGCCGCTGTGCCAAAATCCTGGAGATGATCTCCTGCTTCCAGATTCCTGGCTCTGAGTGGCTGCGAGCTCAGACGGGGCGTGGAGGCAGCCTCAGGTATAAGTGGTCAACATGGAAAACTTCCATCCCAATCCTGGATTTAAGCCACATCGTTATCTCTTACTGTAAGGGAACGGGACAAGAAGCCTTGGAAACGGCTTTATCTGGAGCTTAAGCCTGCAGGTGTGCCACGGGGTACCCATCCATAGCTCTGACACTCGCACTGATTTATGGTGGGTAAACAAAGGAAAAAGGGGAGGAAGAACCAAAAACGCCACCAGAATCAAAGCAAGTTCATTTGGCTGCACTGAGGGATGAAAGGCAGATCTGAAGCATGCCTGGCTGGCGCCTATGGGGTTGGCATAAGGGCAAGTGACTTCAGGCAAGTGTTTCTGATTGTGTTAGTGGGTTATTGAGAAGGATGATGAGAAACTCCAAGGGAAAAGCTGACCCCAACAGCATGGAAGTGAGTTATTGTATTTGCTCAACCTCAAAGAGCACAGCCTGAGCTTGGAGGAATAAAGTGAGAGGGATACGTGGACTAAGTCAACTCCAATTCAAGAAGCAGCCAAGCCAAGCTGAGCAGGGTGCTGGTGAATGGTCATGCTCTGGCATGGTGCTGGACCTGCTCTCTGCCATCATTCCCCTCCCAAACACTGGTCAAAGCTCAGCCCCATGGGCTGCAAGACCTGCAGGGCCTGCTCCTCTCCCTATACCCACCCTGCTCTGATAAAAGGCCCTACTGATAAAGCACTAAAAAGCTGATAACAGGTCCAGGAACCCAGCTGGGCTGGGAAAACAGACTTTCCTTGGGAAAAGGCACCCACCAGGAGGCACTGAATGGGGCTGACATTAAAAAAGGACAGTCTATGCCAGCAGCATCCTCTCCTAGGCCTATTATCTGCCTGTAAATCCATTCCTCCCTGCCCTTGGCTGGTACATCCCAGCTCCATGCTGGATCCCAGTGCTGCAGCATACCCCAGGGCTGGAGCAAGGACTTAAGGAACACGCTGTCCTCTCACACTGGGACAGGTGCTGGCCAGGGCGTCCTGTGCAAGCAAACCCATGCTCTCAGACCCACACCTGAGCCAACACACTGCACAGCCAGCAAACCAGCAGTCACTAGCCTTCTCTCAGCCCTGCCTCCAGCCAAAGTGGCCAAGTGACCCGTGTGGCATCCTTCTCCATCCTGGGGAAAGCCTAATTCATGAGGCAGAGAAAGCCAAACCTGTGTTTGGTTCCTTTATTCCCAATCCAGCACTCGCTGTGCACACTGCTAGGGCTGGGCTGGGTTTGGGATCCTCCTGCTGACTGGCACAAAGTTGTGCCATACTTCCCAGACCCACTTCCAGCTCTCGGAAGGCAGGCTGGAAAACAATCCTTTAGGGGCTGGGAAGAAACAGGGGAGAAGAGCCTGCTGAAACCGTGCGAGAGAGAACATGCCCGGAGGAAAACCAGGGCAAAGGAATCAGACTGGCAGGCGGCCCTCTCGCCCGGGGCCCGTCTCCTGGTTTGCTCTGCTGCCCTCCCTGCACAAATCCATCTCTCCCAGGGCAAGACGAGCCTGTCCCTCGCCCGGAGAGCATGCAACATGCCAGAGCGTGGAGCAGGCGTGTGTGGGGATGCTCTCCTTCCCTGTCCTCCTCCACACTAAGCTGTTCTGCAGCCCTGCTTTGGCACTGCACCCGCCTCTCCTCTCCCAGATTAATGCCCTGACATTCTGCAACCTCTCTCAGCTCATTAGGCAGTTGCATAAGGCACCTGGCACTAACACCATTTAGAGAGCTAACCTAGTTAATGGTGCCAGCTGCCAGCGTGTGCCGTGCTGGGGAGGGGACAAGGAAGGGTGGGCTTGTTTGCAAATACAGCCACTGAGCATCACCCACCTCAGCCAAGCACCCTCAGAGCAGCCAGGCAGGGCAATACCTGCCTGTTGGCACTACGAAGGACATCCCACCGCCTACTCGGTGTGGATGAGCATCCTTAAACCCAGAAGCACTGAATACAAAGGGATTCCATCCAGGGCTGCAGCAGGGATGCAGCCTCGCTGCTGTCGCAAGCATGCAAAGAGGAGTTTAGCCACTCATCCCTTACCTTCTCTCATTGCCAAATAGCCGGGCCACTTCTTCTCTCCCAGGGCTACGGGCCCGGGTTCTCCGCTCTAGCCTCTTCCTCTCCACCTGGAAGGCCTCCCGATTACTGATCCTAATGGCCTTGGGAACGTCGGCCAGGGTGGTGTACTGCCGGCTGGCTTTAAAAGAAAGGGGACGCCCCGATTTTTCAGCTCCCCTTCCTACATCTCTGCTGCCGGAGTCCTTGTGCGTGGGGCAAGTGCTCTTCGAATCCAAGGAGTTCAGAGAGAAGCTGTGACTCATTCGGTCGCCTGCTCGGGTACCTGGGGAAGGAAAGGGCTGGGCATGCTCCTGTGAGGGCGATTTGGGATAACTGTACCTGTTGTTCGGGGTGCTGGGGCTGGGGGGGCTCGGTGGGGGCGGCAGCTGCTGCTCTTCCAGCTTCGAGTCTTGCTTGGTCTTCTCCAAGGAAAAGTATCCGCTCTCGACACGAGTTTTCCGCCCGCAGTCTATCCGCTCTCCGTTCATGCAGCTCTCATCTAAAGGACACAGAAGGCATCGAGCTCACTTTCAAGTCCAACTTGGCTCCAAGTTGGATTCTGCTTTTAAAATCACCCTCATTCCACCCAGGACAGGGACAGGAAATGAGAGCCCCAGCCCCAAGCTGTGCCACCTCTTGCACTCTTGGCTTTTCCACCCTCACCACCCTTCATGCCCATGGTGGTGGTGGGATGGTCTGGCAGGGAACCGGGGATGCAGGTCCAGCTGTTGGGTTGGGCTTGCACAGATGAATCACAGATGATTTGGGTTGGAAGGGACCTTAAAGCTCATCCAGTTCCAACCCCCTTCCATGGGCAGGGATGCCTTCCACTAGACCAGGTTGCTCAAAGCTCCATCCAACCTGGCCTTAAACACTTCCAGGTGTGCGGCCCAATTTCTTTGGGCAAGCTGTTCCAGTGTCTCACCACCCTCATAGTAAAGAATTTCTTCCCAGTATCTAATCTAAACCTACCTTCTTTCAGTTTAAAACCATTCCCCATTGTCCTATCACTACACAACCTAAACCTTCAAACCAAGAAATGGAAGGCTGCAATCACAGCTCTGCACTGATTTCCATCCCTGTCCTTCCCAGCCTGGCATCAACCACAGCTCTATGGGCACAAGGCAATGGACACCTCAATCTTGGCAGCCGGGAGCAGGTGGGAAGCATCCCCCACCCAAGCAGGCAGACAAAGGAAACATTCCCAGCCCATGGGACCTGTCCCCAGCCCCTGCTGTTCCAGGGAGAACAATGTCAAGGCCTCGGTACCTTCCAGGGACTCATCTGGGAGACCAGATGTAAACAGGGCCCTGGAGGAGGAAGCGACACATAGAGTTTGGCAGCCGCAGCAGCCAGGCCCAGGCTAGGATGTGGAGGGGCTAGAAAAGGCATTTTCCCCCTTCATTTTGCCCCCAGCATGAGGGTAACATCACCTTTGAGGGCAAGCAGCCCCATCTCCCTGCTGGGGCGGGACTGGGCTCCACACTGTGGTTTCCAGCATGTGATGCCCATTTTTTCCTTCTTAAACTCCACCCTGTAATGCCTTGATCCGGTCCCTACACAGCAGGGATGAGGTCTGCCTCCTTCTCTTTGCTGGGATGCTCCAGGAACCAAACCCACAGAAAACTTTTCCTTCTATAGTGGTTTTCAGCCAGCTCAGCTGCTCAAACCAGGTCACAGCAGCATCACACCATCCCCATCCCTCACCTTCCTTGCTGTCCAGCACGGAATCCTTCAGGGAGCTGGCAGCCCCAGCCTGGCCTTGCACTGTGTTCTGCGCTTGGCTGATGCTGCTGCCTCCGTCTGCTTGGTCTTTACCCCTCATTTCTTCCTGCCAAAGCGTGGACTTGGTGGCAGGGACCTTCTCAGCACTGGGGATGTTGCTGCTGGTCACAGCCATCTTAGCAGGACCGGGTTCCTAAGGAGAGCAAGGAACATAGCAGAGTTAGAGGGGTTGCCCCAGCTCCACACGGGGCTGTCCCTGGAGGTATGGGTCCCACATGGCTTGGGTGCTGCCCACGATGCTCAGTCCTGTGCCATCACCACATTCCCAAAGGGAAAAGCTTGCAGATGGAAACCCTGCCTGGTGGCAGACAGGTCAGGACAGAGTGACCATCACTTTGAGACGAGAGAGCAAACATCCCTTGCCAGGGAGGGCTCCCAAACCCATCCACACTTCCCAATGCATCCAGCTGGAAACAGATCCAGAGCAAAGCCAAGCCAACAACTGCTTCAGCCAATGCTGCAGCAGCACCTGGCTTTGTTTGGGATAGGAACTGCTCCTCCCAGCATGGCACACAGGATGCTCTGGCTACCAACACGTAACTCCTTGGGAAAAGCTCATCTCGTGCTCACACAGCACTCAAGGTCCTTCACCATTGCCCTTACACTCCAGCTCTTCCCGAAAGCTGCCTGGTGCAAGCATGGGGCCCTGCACCCATATTCATGTGCAGCACCACAGACCCACAGAGAAACCGGTCTGTCAGGTCCTGACTCATGGGGAACCTGGAAATGCTCCCCTCACCTCTGCCAAGCCCCAGGTTGGGGTGACACTGCACCCTCTGTCACTGATGCAAGTGAACACAGCAATTCCTCATTACCCTCTGCACATCCCCGGTCCTCCTGCAAGCTGTTTCCCAGCCTTTCACAAACACAGACCAACATAAGGCTTGTCTCCTGGGCCCCATTTGCCAGGACTGGATTTGCTCAGTGTTATAACTAACATCACCAAACACCCCAAAAGGAATCAAGCTAAAGGATACAGGATGGAGGAGAAAATGAATTCCCTGCCTCCAGCAGCTGTGTTGTTTGTCTGTCACAGCTGGTTTGCTACAGGCCACTGATAAAACAGTAAACCAGTGCTGTTCTCCTCCTGGGTGCTTCGTTAACAGGCTGCTTGTCTGACAAAGCAAATACAACATCCCATTGAGCTTTATGCTTTAAAACAATACCCATCATCTTCACTGCTTCCCAAGGGGCTCTGGAGTCCATCAAATGATGACAGCACTTTGGTGGCCACTGCCTGGGCAGCCCAGGTTGGGTGCATGCCCCAGAAGAGGCAGCATCTTTCTCAACAGGGGCTGGCTTTGCTCTTTAGCAGATGTTTTGCTGTTGTTGTATTAAGCTCCTGCATTAGCAGATTATTTTCCTTAAAGCCACCAATAAATCAATGGCAATGGTTAATTAACCCCCCCCCCTTCAAAGACTCCGGATTGTGGGAAGTTTCCCAGCTGCTTGTTCCCTTCCCACAGAGCAGGGGGAATCCAGGAGTGCCTGAGCCAGCAAACAAGGGCTGGGGGACAGGGCTTGCAAAGAGCATCCTCTGCACTTCAGCATCTGGGGATCTCCCAGAATGGGTTCTGGCTTCGTTCACAGCCACAAGCAGCAGCAAATGACCTCAAGGCAAGCGAATTCCCCCTTGGAAATGTCACTCTGAAGGAATGCAGTGTTGGAGGTAAACGGTTCATGGGCATCCTGCTCCAGGGAACCCTCCTTGAGAACAGGCTCCGAGGTTCCCTTCGCCCTCAACCACGCTCCCATTCACTGATCAAAAGCCCAAAGCTCATCACCAGCTCAGCATATATATTCTTACATATCCCTTCCACACACCCCCATATAATTAGTTGTAGGTATGTATTGAATTAGACAGAGAGATGAGGGCCAAACAGCGGTCTATAAGCAAGCAAAGAAATTAACTCTGTGTATAAAGAGCTCCAAAGAGAAGCAGTAACCAAAATCAGCCAAACAGGCCTAAAACAGGCCTCCAGTTGCATGAAGTGTGTCTGGGCACGCTCTGCTTACCTGAGCCTGCCACACCCCTGTGCAAGCAGGGAGCAGCACCTCAAATCCCACATTTCAGCCCCAAATCCTGCAGGCAAAGGCAGCCCAGTCTCTCCTGCTGCCTGCACTGGCGTAAAGCAAAAGCTGCAAGAGAAACCTGCCCTTTTTGCCCTAAAACTGCAACTTTGCTTGTAAAGCAAAGGTGAAAATGGCTCCAGGATTGCACCAAACAATCCCTGTCCTGTGGCTGGAGTGATATTCTCAGCTTCTCCTGCATTGCTCCCACCCCACTGATGTTACAGGGCGAAGATGCAAAGTGATGGCGGGAGATGGAAATAGCCCTGATGCCCCATGAGTGCCAAGCTGCAGCCAATGAAAAGCTACATAGGAGTGAGAAAAAGCACGAATATCCATTGTTTCAATGCTTTTTTCAACTCCTAAAGGTGTCCGTCCCTCCCTGAGCAGCTCTCAGACAGGATCTGCTGCTGGATTAGCATGCTGCTGTCTTAGAAAGAAATCAGGCTTTCTCCACCAACACACAGAGAGGGAGCTGAACAGCAGCCAGCTCCAGGAGAAGCCATTTCACAGAGGGGGATCTGGTGCTGCTTTTCTCCCCAGCATCCTCTCTCCTTCCCTGGACCAGCTGCCTGCATCGGCATGGGTCAGGACACAGAAGGAAGAGGCTTTGCAGGTTGCTCTGGAGTACCCAACACAACGCAGCACTCATCTGGCCGCAGGTCCCACACAGAGGTTGGTTTTGCAAGTGAATTTGAGCCTTTTTCCAGTGCCAATGGGATGGAGAGAGTGGAAGGAGGGTAACAAGTGGGATGGAGCTTGGAGTGGATCACCCCAAGCCAAGGAGGTGATAAGGGCCACCAAGCTCCACGCTCACCCCATCCCCAAGCACCTGGGAAGCCCGTCTGCCCACAGGGAGCCAGCATCCTTCCCACAGCCGCTTCCCTTATTTGGTGCTCAGGAGCTCGGATCCTGTACAGTTTCCAAGAAGTTTCCATGGTGATGAAACGTAACCCAGAATGATGTTTTTCTGGCTCTGCGCCTCTTCTCCTTTCCACCCCGTCCCCCTCCTGAACCCAGCCTGGGTTTAGTGTTGCGCCAGGGATGGGATGAGCATCCCTGCCCTGCTCCATCAGCTTGCTGGGGTGCCCTGAACGCAGCAGCCCCCTCCATGGGGCTTG